ACCTCGGATCGGGGCCATTGTTGAGTTAATCTTACATGCTTTACGTCCAAATCATTCAAAATTATCCGCTTAATCACGAGTTACATCGTTGTTAAAAATCACATAACAACAATGGCTCTGATAGCTTTGGCAGCTGAGGCAGCTCAGGCGCTTGCTATCGGGGAGCTCACGCACCTGACTTGGGACCTAAGGTGTCATTTCCCTATATAAGGGAGTGAGGTATGCCTTGAAACACATTACATTCTCTATTATGCTTTTTTTATATAGCACTTCATCTTCTTCAAGTGTTAACTTAGGCATCAGAGGCTCTTCAGGAAAACCCCCTCCAGTGTAAGAGTTATGCAGGTCTGAGGACGTTTAACTAGAAACCAACTCGAGATCCAGACATTTATAGCTTATTCCAGTCAGTCGGAGGTCTTTTCTATACTATTTGGCGCCATCTGTGGGACTCGTTCGAAAGTCTTGTGTTCACCATAACCATGGTGGATGAATTCTCAAGAAGAAATTTGGAGACTACATTTGATGGTGCGTGGACAACCACGTGTTCGTTCAAAGTTAGCCCTTATCCAGTCTTCTTTGGACCTTTCACAACTTCGATGACCCCGATGCCTCCTTTTCAAGGCTTTTGGAGTTCATCGGCAGTTCTCGTAGCTGAGGTGGGCTCGACTCGGTCGCAAGAGGCTCGAGAGTCGCAAGGAGTGGTAATACATGCACAACCGCAACCAGATTTGGCCAGGGTGCAACGAGCTGAGCGATGGTGCAGACGATGGGGCCACCGAGGGCGAACAAGGAGCGAGCTGGTCAGCATTTAGTGACGATGACCAGAGAGGAGATGGAGAGGATGATTGCTGACGCGGTCACAGTGGAGACGGTGTATCAAGCCACACACCATACCTCACACGTCGCTACAGCGCTGACCATGGAGGTGGGCGCACATCAACAAAACACAAAGAAAGATGCGTCGAGCTTTGGAGGGGATGGAGCCCTGAGGGATCGAGCCTTCGAAAGGATGGCTGAGCAACTTCGTCAGTTGCATGCAAGGGTGGATGGTAGACTGGTGGGTCAAGCCCGAGGACATCCCTTCTCGAGGGAAATCTTAAAGACACCTTTACCAACCAACTTTCGAGAGACGAACTTGACGTATGATAGGTCAATCGACCCGTCAAGGCATGTGAGGTCCTTTGAAAACATGTTTGTATTGCATGGATATTCGGACGAGGTAAGCTGTAGATATACTTGTCAGCCTTAAAGGAGGGGCGGTGAAAACACGTTACATAAACAATACATCATTTTCGCCACTCCTCTGGTCAGCTCAGAACCTAGTTATTGATGCATGGAATTTTAGACAATCTCCATGAAAAATATAAAAAATGAGATTTTGTCGACTCCATAGATCTTTCAATAAAGTTCTGAGCTTGAGGATTTTCATTGTAGTAATGGGTGATTTGCCTCAAGAAGTCATCTCAACTCTTTTTAGCCCCAACAATTGGATCACTCGAGATAGTGCAGAAAGCTCAACAAAGCAACATATCCTCGTCTTGCCTCTACGATTTTGCAGACGATTTTCCACCTCTCTTTGACTCAGCTTCCTTATTTTTTTCTTATATCTTTGTTAAGATAAATGTGGTCAAGTACTTCAACCTCGGGTCCAGTACTAGCTCATATGACATCTTGTGAGCCTGTACTCATCGCCGTTGGCATACAACTAATTTGTTGATAAGGCATGCCAAATGGAGTTTGGCATATTTTATTGGGATGTGATTGACCATATATATTGAGATTGTTATTCATAGGCTTAGATAGGAAAATAAGACATCGATTGATATGGAAAACTTTAGAATTGGGGTTGCAATTTCATTCTAGTAAATTGACCGAGTGCGAGAGCATGTTTCGACTATAGCGGAATTTACAGAAGACGAGCTATCATCTTCAGAAGAATTAGGCATTATAAAATTGGAAAAATTTAGGTTTCTGTCCATTGAAATTCAAAGTATTTTTTTTTTTTCTAGTATTTTGTTTGGGTTTTTCATCAAACCAAATGTTTGGTTATATAGTACATATTGATTATTATTAAAAGAGTAAGTTAAAAAGTAATCACATTTTAGATAAGATAGAAGACACACACTTCTAAGTTTTTTTTTTCAGCTTTTTCTTTAAAATGACAACACATGTTACTATTTTAATGTATTATTATTATTATTTTAATTATTATTATTATTATTATTATTAATATTATGTTTACTAAATATTTTTATGTACTTTATAATTATGAATAAAAAAAGATAAAGATATATTTTATTACACGCTAATGAATTTATCAAAATACTACTTCTAACAATTAAGCTCATTTCAAATATGCTCAACAAGGTTGTGTATGATGCACTTTGAAACTTGTTGACGAGAGTTTTCGGTCAACGGTTAATATAGTTAATATTAAAAGTGCGGGACTGAAAAATAAGAGAGAAGTATGGCTTTATTATGATTTTATTAAGCGATCACGAGGTCGGCCTCTCGTACGAGGTCGGCACTTGTGAAATACTTACAATTCTTACAAAGTTTTCCTTACAGTTTCTAGAGGGAGAAAGTAGAAAGAAGCTAGAATTAGTTGAGATTCAACAACCCAAAATAAATGAAGTGAGTTGCTATTTATAGTATCCTTAAATAGGGTAATGTTCACCGGTCTTGTCGCACAGTAGGTTTGCAGAGCAGTTCGGCGCCTCCCTGACAGTTAATTAATGCGATTTGAGGTTTCTTCAATCGTTGTCTGCCAGACATTTAATGCAAGCATGGGGAGCATTTAATGCTGATAGACTTTCTTGACTAGGCTTGCTTGTTGAGTGGTTGACTATGACAACCCGTCCCATCAACGAATGATGACCTCCCAAGTGGCGAGTATTTTAATAGCGTAGAGATCGGCATTTACCTTCTGACAGGGCGGCTCTAACTTATTCAGACCGACACCTTCTCTCTGAAGGTTTGCACGATCTAGGTGAGTCTTTCACCAGTTTGGCACTTTGGTGAGACCGGCCCGGCACCCTACGGAGCTAGGTGCCAGGCTCGGGAAACACTCCAGTCAATCCGGCTGCGTGTAATTCCTCGACTCTACTCGGCTCCCGCACTCTTAATCGGCTCGACACCTTCTTGTAGTTCGGCCCTACTCGGTTCACGGGGCCGACCCGTATCGATCTGACCATACCGATCCAGATGTCAACAAAACTTTACATATAAAATTTATAAATATAAATTTCTAGTTCATAATAAAAAGAATGAATAAATTTGTTCTTAGATTAATTTATAATAAATAAAAAGATATATATGTAAATTATTGCAACTCATAATACATAATATATAAGTTAATTATCAACATCACCAAAATTCACTTAATTTAAAAAAAAATAAAAAATAAACTAATGTAGAAAAGGGGAGTGAGGTGGGCCATGGCAGGAAAAAAAAAAAAACGGAAGAAAGAAAGGTGAGCGGTGGACAATGTGGGCCTTTTTTCTCTCGCCCAAATCACCCAAACCCTAACCAGGTAATTCAAGCTCGCCGTTGTGCCTTCCCCGGCGATTCTGGTTCGCCGTTGCTCCCTCAACCCCTCTTCCTTCTCTTCTACTCCTCTTCTCCCCTGCATCGTCGGCGGTTCTGTGGTCTCTTCCGCTAGCGGAAGTCTCTGCGGTATGGGTTCCGGGCTCGTTTCGTCGAGGATAGGCCCTCTTTTGGCTCTGCTCAGGTTTGGTTCGCTGTTGGCGGGCTCAATTTCGGTGGTTCCAGTGGTGGGCTCGTCTTGCAGTGGGAGGAGGGGGTTCGGGGTTGGGACGGGATTGGGGGAGGCTCTGGCTGCTCGTCTCGCCGGAGTTGAGTGGGCTGGGCTAAGGTGGGTCGTCTCGAGCCCCTATATTCCCCGTCGCTGGCTGTTGTGACATGGGGTGTCTGGCTTGCGGGACCTAGGCTAGTGGTGTTGGCCGGGTCTTGGGAAGCCGGAGTGTGTGGGGGGCTGGTCGACACTCCTTCGGCTGCGGGTCGACTTTCACTTCTTGGATTTGTCCGAGGCCTCGGATTTTGGCTTCAGCTAGGCATTTCGGTAGTTTCGGGAGTCAATTTCTAGGTTGAGGTTCATCTCTATGGGTGTTTGTCCATTTTGCTGGTGCCTTGTGTTGGATCTGGTGTTATTGGTTGGGAAAGGGCTTTCTCTTCTGTTTTTTAGTTTTATTGTTTTAGTTTTCGTTAGTTTGCTATTTGAGTTTGTGTTTGTGATTTTTGGTCTTGTTTTTTAGGTTTGGGCCGTTAGCCCTGGTACTGATTCCCCTGTGGGGGGTGTTTCTATTCTCCTGTGGGGAGCGACCGTAGTTGATGTGTTTGTGTTTGTTAGTTGTGTGTTTGTTTTTTCTATTCTAGTGTGGCTAGCGAGGTTCTAGGTGAATTTTCGATCCGTTCTCTCAGTTTCTAGTTCTGAGTTGTAATATTCAGCCTTGGGTTGCTTTGCACAGTTGTGCGTTTTTATTTATAATATCTCTATCGTTTT